TAATTCCTTCCGTCTACTTGAGTCTGAATGCTTCTCGTTTTGCGCCTTGCCGTTCAAATGAATTCGCAACCAATCATAATTTCCAAGGTTGCGCCGGGGGAGGTTTTTAATTTTAATTTTAATTTAACCAGATAAAAAGCATTGAGATAAAATCTCATTTACAATGCTGACCTGGCCAAGAAGGCAGCAACGTTACACATACAAGGGTTACAAGGCTCGCGTCTTGTGCTGCATTCACTTGCACTCGGACATTAGAGATTTTCTCTCATAAATGTCCGATGAGCCACAACTTTTCTTTCAAAACAAAGACGCCAACTGGGGTGGCAGCTGGGGTGGCAAGGCTATTTTTTAGGGTGGCAGTTGCCACCCCGGTAGATCCGCCCCTGGAGTAAAGCCCCTTTTCTCTGTCCTGAGAGTCCACAACAGCCTGTTTTTCCAACAGGGCCTGAATCTCTGTTGAAAGGAAACCTATCTCCTCCTGGGATGATAGATTTGCCTCTCTTATACCCCTGAATGGAGGACGCTGCAAAACTGGAGTGAGTACCTCAGTTTTCCTGTCCGTCCATTCTGTCAGTACACAGCTGAGCTTCCATTACCCATAAAACTGTGTTAGGGGACCTGCAAGCAGCTGTGGACTCGCAGCTAAGAAGCTGTAGTACTCTCTGGTGGCCCACTCCGCCGCCAAACCTTCCATAAAAGGAAGATTGGCCCATGGGGGGGTGACCCAGAAAGGGCCGATTTTCTACAGCCCAGGCGAAAAGAGGCAGACCGGTCACCAGGAACAGGAGCGGGGCGCAGGGCGAGAGCACCCCCCGGACGGGCCGGGGCCACAGCAGGCACCGCGACAGAAGTGGGTCTGTTTCCGTACTCGTCTGAGCGACAACTACTGTACCTATCGGGTGAGGGCGGAGGTGTGGCACAAACCTGTCGTGAATTACGGCTGAGACGGCGCGCTTGCGCGTTTGTCCTCCCATATACACACATCCCATCCACTATCCCCACCAACCTTAGCCCGAGATATGAGACCCTATTTTACGTTCGCAAAAATAACTACGTAAATAGGTCTCATACGGGTAGGGTTCGGTGCGGGATGTGGGATGGGATGTGTGTATATGGGGGCAGGCACGCGCAAGCGCGCCTCTCAGCCCGGTGTAATTCCGTACAAGGTTGTGTTGCCCCCAACCAACCTCCCCCTCCACGATAGTTCTCGTAGTTGTACGCTCAGACGTAGTAACGGCACAACAGACACACTTCTGCGTAATAGTGCGCCCGCGCGCCGGGGGGGCTCTCCGCCGCGGCGCACGCAGTTC